AATCCTTGTTTATTGAAATATTGAAATGCAATTGGGGAAATTTTGCCAAACTAGAGAGGTGAGGATGGTAAAAAATCCAACATTAGTTCACACATTGGAAAAGAGTGAAAAGAATAAATTTGGGTATGTGTGAATCTTACGAGTGATGAAAGAATATATTTAACCATTGAGGGTCGAAAATTTAAACGACTTATGAATTCACAATCCTATACTTTAATTCTTCACACACACATCGATTTTACATTGGAAAAGTGAATTTTAATTTTTGTATTGTGATTTTGAAGCTATGCATAGATTTAATATTATAATTTCAATCTCGAGATAAAAAGTCAGGTTACCCATTAAATCTTGTTTCTTTATTTGATTAACTGGCCACCTATTAAATCTCGAGATAAAAAGTCAGGTTAACCAGTTAAATCTTGTTTCTTTATTTGATTAACTGGCTACCAATTTGGTAATTAACATTGTTTGTTTGTGTTTTTGTTAGGTTTTAGTTTTGTTTGAGGACAAACAAATATTCAAGTTTGTGGGTGCGATAAGTCTAGTTTCTACACTTATTCGAGCCCTAAATCATAATATATTTTTTTGTTTATTTGGATAAAATTCTACATAATTTATGTTTTTTTGTACTTTATAGGTAAAAATTTATATTTGATGAAGAACTGGAGAAAAGAATGTAAAAGTGACGAAAAATGACAAAATTCAAAGATGAAACTTTGGAGAGACATATTATATTAAATTGGTTCGAGTTAAATGTGCTTCAATAGACTTGCATTGAAAATTTTAATTGGAGATTCAAATTAAATATATAGATGGACGGACGGGAAAAATGAGAAATAGAAAAATGGAGGAAAAACTGTCGCAAAAAAAAAGAGAGAACAAGAGAAAAAGAGAGGAAAAACAAAGAAGAAAACTGTCGCAAGAAAGAAAAAAGAGAAAAAGGAAAAGAGGAGAGAGAAGATGTCAAAATTGATGGCTGTGGCTAGATATACATATACACACACGTAGAGAGAAAGATGAGAGAAAGATGAGAGAAAAAGAAATAAGACCGCATACACGAGCATTTTCACGTTTTTCAATTTTTAGTGATATCATTTCACTTTTGCGTGTTTTTATTTTTACAATATGAAGAACTAATTTTTATATTAGGGAAAACAATGTAGTCGAATTGTAATCCTTTATTTTTTTTATTCAAGATTCCTATGAGTTATTTATTTATGTATTGGTTTTATTATGAATTTAATGCATTTAATTACCCGATCAATAATTTAATGATTATGTGAGTCTCTTACTAATCTAGAGGTAAGTTTGAGATTTAGACCATATAGTAAAATTCGATAAATTAGTATAACGTGTAGAGATACATATAGTAATTATTGCGGTCATAATATGAATTTTTAGAACTAGTGTTTCGTTTAACTGAAGTTGATTCATATAGAGATATGGAATTTAATTAGTTAAATAGGTTCAATGAGAACTCGAGAGGGGTAAATTGAATACAATAGAAGAATTCGATCGAACACTACATTAGGTTATGAATCTAGAATTAAGAATTAAGGTGAT